GCATCCCAGAAACGATACAGAAAAGCATAAAGTCGAACATGACTTCTAAAAACACTAGTGTAGCCTTACAAGGTCCTGAAGGTTTAAAAAAATGACATCATTTCCGGTTTCTGGCAATGGCGGACATGCGATAGTAAGCACTGACGTCTATTCCAGCATAGGAAGTTTTATGAACAGCTGATCGGATCGGCAAAGCGCGTTTCTGGAATATTATGTTGTTATTGCTGTAAAGCTATATGTGAAAGGAAACTGTGACAAACTGATGGCATAAGATGTAAGTGCAACTCCTGCAGTTTCATATGCAAAAAAAATGTATTGCGCTAGCTTATGTGGCTGCAGTTCTACAGGGATTTGAAAATAGTTACACAAAACGGAGCTTGCCCGCTATCTTAAAGGGTTAAACGCTCCAGGGAGCCATGAGCAGGTACTCCCAGTTACACTGGTTAGCCCCGCCTATCTGGAACCTGCAAGGCAACACAGAGGGACATAAAACACAAAGTTGCAGCTTCACCCTCAAACTCCTGCCTGAGGTCCAGAAGGAAAAATGCAAATGTAATAAAAAAAAATATTTAAGGACAACAACAATAAACACACACAATAAACACCTCATCCATACATTCAAAGTATTGGACAAAACTCTTCACAAAGGTAAAACATGAGAAAAGGAAATGTGCTGGTTTACAATCCTAACAACAAAGTGTCTTGATAACAGTCACTGTCATTCGCATTAGAAATACTTAGTAATCCATTAAATTTTAAAACACTGCAAAAAAGTTTAAAGTTCTCTGTAACATCCATGAATTTCCTCCAAGGTCTACATCTTTTCCTCCTGCCATTTCTCTGTGAGTGCTCCAACTTCCTCCCACAGTCTAAAGACATGCATGCATTTAACTGAACCGCGGTTACTCAATGGCTTTGGATAAATGGTTAAATCTGAGATGGATGGAGGGTCCAAATCAGCAGAGTTTCTGTGTTTCTGTGTATCGCCTTTAGGTTTCAGTTTTTTCAAGCAGCAATTAAGAGACTAGGGTGGGTCTGAGTGGGTGGGTGGGTGGGTGGGTGGGTGTGTTAGGCTACTTAAGCTCCAAAGATGAGGGAACAGTGAGAAACCAAGAGGGGGCTGTAAACACACAGCAGGGATGGAAAGGTGGGGGCCACACTTGCAAATTTGCATACCTAAAGGCTGAGGTTTGTCCCTTTATCAGTGATAATGTACTAGATCAGTGGTGTCAAACACAAGGCCCGGGGGCCAGAATTAGCCTGACAAAGACCCCAATCCGGCCAACTGAACAGCTTTGAAACGAGGGCACAGATTTTGGACTTTTAACTGTACTTTAAAGGTTTTACAGCATTTCCTACTTTCTAAAAACCTCCCCCACTACAACAAATTAATTAAGTAACAGATAAACAAAAACAATCAAATCACAGAAAGGTTCCTGTTTCGTTCACTATATTCTATTTTACAGTGAGTCCATGTGGGGGGGGGGCATTTTCTGTTCAGTGAGCTTTGGTCTGTAATTTTACGAATTTATTTATTTGTGCTGACAGATTTCTTTCATTTAGTATAGCAGCATTTCTTTATCGAGTAGAAAAATTGAGGAATACTGTTGATATTGCACTGCTCTTTATATTGAAGGGGATTAAATGTGTAGTTACACATCTTTACACTCACAGAAAGGGCCATTTTGTAGTTTCGGCCCACTTAAGATCAAAGTGGGCTGTATGTGAGATGTACTGCACTAGATTAACGGCCATGATGTCACTGTCACACTGCTGCTGTGGATATGTTGATATCTGCATGATTATTAAACAGGGAAAAAACACAAAACATAAACAGGGTTGCCAGGTCAGTGGTTTTCCACTGCGTTGAGCCACTTTAAAGTGTTCTTTGTTATCTAAGTGTTTTCACAGGTTAACTGTTTTGTCCATTGGTTGTGAAAATCTATTTGGCATTAAAAGTAGTAAATATTTGTTATCCATTAAAATTATCCTCAGATCATAACAATTTAAACGCCCATGATCTCAAATGACAACGTGCCACCCACACAGACAACGCAGTTACATGGCATTATAGCGTGTCTCCTGTTACAGCCTAATAAATACTTTGCGTATTAGTTGTCTTGAGAAGCATTTCTTTTGCTATTAGTCATGAGAAGAACAGACAGGTAAGAGGTGAATCTCGCTGTACTGGAGTTTCCTGTTGTATTTAAAGGCAGCGTGGAGAAAAGAGACTCTTTAAACCCCGAGAGGTCACCGCTGATGTCCCTAACCTTCACCCAGCACCTTCATGATGTGTCATTTTGCTTCTTTTTTAATTGTTTTGCCAAAGTTGTTGCAAAATTTTGGCAATCGGGGCACAAAACAAAGTTCCGACACACATCAAAAACTTTTTAGATTCATAAAACACAGGTGTGGGGCTGTGGCAAGTTTGCTGTCACGTCTCTTTCATTACACAGAAACACAAATTATAACATCATTACATGAGGTCCTGGTGTTCAATATATTATGCAAATACAACATCGTGTGAGTGATCTGATCAGGCCTTTTGCTTTTAGCAACGTTTTCAACAGGCCTATCTCTGCTGGTACGTAGGCATATCAGTGCCCACTGAATTAGTAACTTTCACATCTGGAAAGGCGCTGTTAATGCTGAAAGGTATCTATAGGTCTTACATGTCCTCATCCAGATTACATCTTTTTTAGGGAAGGCCTTGAATACTTCAACAAGACGGTACTAAACCACATACTGCATCTATTACAGCAGCATGGCTTCATAGTAGAAGAGTCCAGGTGGTGAACTGACCTGCTTGGGGTCCAGACTTTTTACCATTTAGAGTATCATGAAATGAAAAATATGACAACAAAGACTGTTAAACTCATCTATCAGACAAGACTGAGGCAAAATTTTGAAAAAGTTCTCAGACCATTACAGGCTGTTATAAAAAAAGAGGGGATGCTACACAGCGGTAAACAAAACCCTGTCCCAGGTTTTTTGAGACTTTTACCAGTCATGAAATTCTAAACAAGGTAATATTTTCTCAGTCTAAACATTTGATATGTTTTATGTGTCCTAGTGTCAACAATAAATTGCTGTTCTGTCCGCTTGGTACAGGCTGTCGACTCCATTTCCCAGTTACACCTAGCTACGGCGACAGCATCATTTACACAATATGTACACAGTTAATTGAAGGAAAACACTCAACAGCTGGTAGAGAGCTCTCCGTTCATACTGATCAACCGTACAGCAGTGAGGAAACCAGAGAGGAAGACTAAAACAAACATCACAACACACGAGTCTTTCTGATACAACAGTACCGAGTCTTCCCAGCTGCAGTGTAGGTTTTCCTTTATTATGACACACTAGATGACATAAAAGGACTGACCTACACGGTCCTGTTTGTGTCAGTGTGTAATCTACACCTGGTCTGATGATACGTCTACAACAAGGAATAAACAGGAAAATATTGCATGTGAACAAAGCAAAGCATGGTGGCTTTTATTCAAATTCACAAATAACTTTGTCCTGCAAAATCTCAACTGCTGGAAGAGTCTTTACAGTTCTCGAAGCAGTTTGTTTTCCTTTGCTGGGCCTATCTGAATGAATTCAGCACCTTCCTGGCAGCAGATCAATGCACATGGAGACCTATGACCTTGTAGACTAATCAATTTAAACAGTAATGAATTGTGTAGCCAGCTTAGACACCTCGGAGACACTTGATAGACATAATGGTGAATTGGGGGGTGTGGGAGAGGTCTATTTCAGCTCCCTGACTCTGATCTAATCACTCAGGACACATTTAAAATAAACTAAAAACTTCACACACAGCTGAGCATCCTCAGAGATCAATCTCCAACATGCACACTCAAACTTGACTGTTGTTTTCACTTGTTACAGCAAATCCAAGGTTATACCTCTCATAGGTTCACTTCGTTTCGCCCGAGATTCAGACGAATGTTCGTTTCTGTTTCAGTGATTCATGATAAACTGGTTTTTTGTCACGTCTCGAAACATTAAAATGTTCCCGACTGTGAAGATTTTTCATCTTTTAAGTACTCCAACAAAAAAGATAGTAAGATGAGCATTAGACTCTCATATTTAGCAGATATTTGTCTGTATGTTCAACAAATATCTGCTAAATAAGTGTGACTGACAGTGTGGTTAAAATAATGAACTCCTCCATTAGTCTCTTTATTCTGACTGCTGTGTTTGTGCATCTGCACAGTTAAAGTGTGCCTCTGTCTCTTTGTGTCTACAGTTTCTTAAATAACTGCCCTTCACTCCTGCACACACACACTTCCACACACACTCTCAATCTTTCACTCTTTCTTCTCGACATTTTCACCGTTCCCACACCTTAAAGCGGAATGGAGAAGAGGTGGAGAAAGAGAGGATAGGAAAGGCCGAGACAGAGAATAAAAGGAGGGGTAAACCGGTTCAGCAGGTAGAGGCCTAACCTAGGCTCTCTCCGGCTTGTTGTCACCGTTATTTCTCCCGCGCATGCGCGCTGCTGCCTGTTTCCTGCTTTTAAATGAGTACCTGTGCAGCTCTCTGACCCACCTCTATCGACACTTGTGTATGTGTGTGTGCGTGCGACCAGGAATATCTGCGTTTTTTTCTCCCTCCCAGCCCCGCTCCCTCACCTAGTGACGCTACACTCCCGTTATTTCAGGGCGCTGTGGGCGATATCTGTCTGTACCTGACCTGGTAGCTCACCTGAGCGGACTCACCTGTCCCGACGCCGAAAAGACTTTTCTTTACAGCTCGAGAACAAATCTGGTAGAGAGGAAAGGTGTGCTGGAAGGAGGTGAAAAAGCGGGACGAGGCTTGCGAAACGAGAAGAAAGGTGCGAAGAGGAGGAAGAAGGAGAAGAGGGGACCGACCTTCCAGTTTTTCCTCTCGGTTTCCTGCTTTTTTTTGTCACTTTTAACGTGACTTTACGTCGCCACAGCGGCTTTTCCTGCACATCGCTTTCTCTCAAAGGGACTTTGTGTTGACTGAGCATGCCGAGGGCCTTTCTGGTTAAAAAGGCGAACGTTTCGCCGGGAAAGCGGAACTGGAGTGAACTCCCCGATCATGAACGAGGGGACGTCTACATCCCAGGTGAGTCCACTGCCGTGATGAGCCATTTTTGTTGTTGTTGTTTAAAAAGAAAAAGAAATGTTGGCGATAGCGTGTACGGGCTCGTTTTCGGGCGCCTTTACGCACGGATTTGTGGATTTTTGTTATTTGTTTGTTTGTTTGTTTGCGCGGTTTGGAATCCAGCGGGAATACCGATGTGACAGGTGGCGGGGGAAGGGGTGTCCGGCGGTGATTGTAACGGGGCCACGGAATAACGGGAAACAGCAGCGGCCCGCCGTGCTCGGAGAAAGTAGTTCCTGTTTTGTGGGGTGTCAGAGCTGTGCTCTTCTTACTTTAGATAACCTTTTATGTTAAACTTATTTCATTTTAATGAAAATGTTAAAAACCATTCCTCGTTTTCGTGTTTTTGATGATTCACATATAAACAATTTGAGCACAGTGTCACAAAAGCAAACAGTGACAGGACTAATGTGTTCTTACACCAACACCAGTGTTGTGGCCTATAAGCGATCGCAAAGGCCCGGTGTTTGTTTTTTTCATATCGACCTTCAACCCCTGATTGTTCTTCCTTGTACAGCATAGCACCGGCCTGACTTATGAAGCACAAATAACGACCTATTAATCGGCTTCTGATTAGTTATTCAGCACAGGCCAATTAATAAACACTTGAATTCAATCTCTTTATTTTCTTAGTTTTAAATGATGAGATGATGTTTTACACCTTTAATTTTTTGTTTGTTTGTTTTTTGTTTTTATTGTATCTACACGTGTTGGTCTTACTTTTTTTTTTAAAGAAACTAAACACATCAGCTTTCCTGACCTGCACAATGATTTTCATACTTTTTCACTGAGCTGGGTCTCCAAGTTTGATTCTTTGAATGCGTCACTTTACATTTAAATGACACGTTGAGGTCCCAAATGACTCCTTCTGCCCCCTCCGCATCCCCCAGTTTTCGTGAAAACAATCCCCATTGTTGCCATCGGCGGAGTTTTTATTGTAAGACCCCGCCGGTATCAGATAACAAGTAACGGACTACACCCTAAACGTCTCTCTCGCTCTCCTTTCTCTCTTCTCCCTCCCCCCTCTTTCGTTCCCCCTCTCTCTCTGTGTGTGTGTCTCTCTCTCCCTGTGTGTGTGTCCTTTTTCTGTCCTCATCCCATCACCGTTAACTTTTAATCATTGACTTTTACATCCTCTTGGGGTGTTTGCAACCGGAACACTTGGATGAACTGAACCAGGATACGCTTCAAACTGTTTTTTCCCAAACAGGTTCAATAAAAAGAAAAAGAAAGGAAAAGAGGAAAAACTCAGACTCACATAGGATGTAACCACCTAAATAAAAGCGCGCGGGCATTTTGGGTTTGATTCAGGTCTTATGTGAAGCTTTAGTGACAAGAGAGTGAGAAGAGCAAACATGATATCTCTCTGCAGTTATTTCCACCTTCCTCTTCCCCACTCACACACAAAGGGAATCTGCCGTCTAATGTCTTTATTCAGGTTATTTCTCAACATCCACGAGCCAAAGAAACGTCGCAGAAAGTTTCAGCAACTAGTTTTCCAGGAAAAACTTTAAGATAAAACCTGAACGTCAGTGCGTAATTGTGCCGCGTACTGTTAATGCTTTGCCAAGCCCAGCAACGGTCTCAGCTAAATCTTCTGGTATGTGCCGTTACTTGATGTACCTGCCCGGCGTGTATGAGAGACGCACGTACAAAAACCCAATAACAAGCTGACACACTCAGATGTGATAATTGTCTTCAGTAATCTGCGTGTTGAATAATTCTGTGACACGCCACATGCCATGGCTTTCGACACTTTTCTGTGTGTGTGTGTGTGTGTGTGTGTGTGTGGGCGCGCGCAAGGGTTTATTTTTATCCACAAACATGTGCCGGGGCCTGTTTCTGATGGGTCATCAGTCTGAAATCAACCTTTGTTTTGAGTCTGTATCATCCCTCCTCCATCTTCCAGACACACATTGAACCGCTGCGTGTGAAAAAGGCAACAAAGAAAAAACATATTCCTAAATAGAAATTAAAAATATTTCGCCATTTTAATGTCCCAGTGGCTATTGAAATGAAAGCTAATTTAGACAGTACGTCATAATAACTGCCCTTGCACAGACGGCTGGTGTTTCAGCATCACTGCCAAGTAGGTATACTTTCTTCTTAACTTTTACATAAATTAAAATACTACTGAGTACCGCTGTTAACATGCGCAGGTATTTGCTGCCTATGCGCTGATTCTGAACTTCTGTGCCGGTCGGTACCGGTGTTTGAAATAAAAGTTTATTCCCTCCTTATACTGGTGGCAGAAAAAAGAAACAAATCGTCAATATACATAAATAAATGCTTAAAAGTTTTTGGGCCCAGATGTAAGGACCAGGTGGTTCACTGGACACAGCAGAAAATCAACTTGCATCTCATCAGTATCCGCCATGAAACTCATCAAACCCATCAAACATACAACGTTGATTTCAAGCACAGTAGACGAGATATCCCTTTTTTATTCAAATAAAAGTTGTAATTGAAAATATATCGAAAGTGTTTTACATTTTGAAAGAAATTTAAAAAGTAAGAAAACTGAAGTAAAACTGAAAAAGAGGGGGAAAAGAATGAAAAATGGAAATTAAAAAATCTTCTCCTACACGCCGCTTTCCTATAATAATAATAATAATAATAATAATAATAATAATAATAATAATAATAATTATTATTATTATTATTATTATTATTATTATTATTATTATAAAAATTAGCTTATAGCATACTTAGTTTTTGAATAAGTCTGTGTATCATTATGCCTTATTTTTCTGTTACACTCAGAGGTCACATATAATCTAATTATTACTTTCCAAATGTATATAAACATAGCTTTTATCTATAAAGCTAAATAATATTCTTCTTTTTGAGGTTATATTATAACACAAATGAAAGTTTTGTTGTTGTCGTGTTGACTTCATTCTGTAGTTTTAGCAGACGTTAGTTTCACCTTTACACAGACTGGCTCATGTATGCACACACAAGAAAGATGTCGCGAAAAACGACTAAACGTGTTCCCTAGAATCTCAGAGCAGTCCAGGAGGAGCTGATGTCGTGTTTTGTTTGGGGGGTTTGTTGCATTGCACCAATAGTTTCCACTATCTGCTCAATGACTGCTCCAAGGTTAATGTTTATTGGATGGAAGGAAATGTAACGGACCCTATGGACAGCCTGCTGCTGCAGGCAATACGCCTTAAGCAAACACGCGCGCGCGCGCGCGCGCACACACACACATACACACCCTCTGTTTGATCAAGTTATCTACTGATTGTTGACTCTTTCTACCAGCTGAGCGATGTTAAATGAATAAAAGGAAAATATTACAGAGCATTTAAAGCAGCA